GCCCCTTCTGGCGATATTGAGATATTTGTAAACAAACTTTACTCGTGTCTAAATTATTGTTTTAAACATTTTAAAACCATTATTTTATGCGGCGATTTTAATATAGATTATCTTAAAGACTCTAAGGAAAAAGTTTTACTTACTGATTTTATTCAAAGTTTTAATTTAAAGTGTCAAAATAAAGAACCTACACGAATATTTACAGACAAGAATGGAAAAACTTCTAAAACTAAATTAGATTATTTTCTTACAAACTGGTCACATCAATATGAAGAAACTACAAAAGATTTTATTTTGGAAGATCATTTTGGTTTGGAGTTTTTGTTAATAGATGCTAAACCAGAAAAAGAGCAATTTAAAATAAGTCAAAACGTAACATTCAGAAATCTTTCCAAATCGAATTTATTAACTTTACAAAACAGATTTTTTACTGAAAATTTTGAACAGGTTTACGAATATCTCGATAATGCGAATTTGGCATTTGAAACATTTTTGAACATACTCACGTACCATATTGACATATCTTGCCCAATGACTACAAAAAGAATTTGCAATAAGTCTAAAAATAGTTGGGTAACAAATGATATAATACACGAGGGAAATGATTTGAGAAGTCTTTTTTGGCTATCACATAATTCTAAAAACATAGATATTCATTTAAAATATAAAGAAACAAAGAAACAATATGTCAAACTAATCAACGAAACAAAAAAGAGTTTCTTTCAAAATAGTTTGGAATGTAAGAATACTATACAGCAAAAGCAGAAGTTTATATGGCGTACGGTTAATAAAAAAATAGGTAAGACGGTAAAACATAATAATTATGATAAAATACAACTTGCTGATAAAATTATCACTAATAAATATGAGATGGCAAACGCTTTTGTAGAGCATTTTACTACTTGTCCTAAAAATAAAATCATAAATATTTTTAAAAATACCAATTTTGATCATTATACCACACAACATGTAGATAAATCCTTTTATTTTTTTCCTATAGATGAGTATGATGTTAGAGAGGTTATTGGCTCCTTGAAAAATGTTACCTCGGTAGGTATTGATTGCATATCAACAAAATTAATAAAGTGTATCAGTGAATATATAGCGCAACCCCTTGCAAATTTAATAAATTTATCAGTAGAACAGGGTATTTTTCCACATAGCTTGAAGGTAGGAGTTGTAACTCCAATATTCAAAAGTGGAGATAATTCAATTTTAGATAATTACAGGCCAGTTACGGTCCCTACTATTTTGGGTAAAATTTATGAAAAATGTGTATACAAAAGAATGTATAGTTTCCTTAGTAAATACAATATATTATGTTCCAACCAACACGGATTTCTACCTGGAAGATCAACAGAGAGTGCTACCACTGAATGCTTAGTTTCATTCACATCGCACTGGATCGGGGAGATTTTGTGGGGGCACTTTTCTTTGATCTCTCAAAAGCATTTGATACCATAAACGTAAGAGTTGCTATAGAGAAGCTAAAAAATCTTGGTTTTAGGGGTCAGTTCGCATTATGGCTGTCATCTTATTTACATTCTAGGAAGATCCTCGTTAAACTTAGTGACACACGATCAGATTATGGTGATATTGATATTGGGGTTCCTCAGGGTTCAATATTGGGACCATTAATATTTCTATGCTACATTAATGATATGCCTAGATATGTCAGTTCAAATAACATATTTATGTATGCAGATGACACAACCATTGCTACATCTGCTTCAAGTGCCGAGGAATTAACTGTTCAACTGAATGTTATATCAAAAGATTTTACAGAGTGGTGTAAAAAAAATGCTTTGATTGTTAATGCTAAAAAAACCACAAGCATGCAATTCTACTACAGATCAAATTCAAGTTACCAGTTTTCTATAAAAGTGAATGATAGCCTGGTTCACTCTACAACTTCCACTAAACTTTTAGGTTTGTATCTTGATAGTAACATGAGCTGGGAATCTCAAATTAATCATGTTTGCAAAAGAATAAATAGTAGTTATTACGCAATATTGCAATTAAAAAGCTTTCTTAAAAAGGAACAGGTATTGAATGTTTATTATGCAATTGTTTATCCTCACTTAGCCTTCAATATAAATCTTTGGGGTAGTGCTGTGAATGCTGCGAGAGTGTTTGTCTCTCAGAAAAGAATAATTCGGTTAATTTTTGATTTACCATATAGGCATTCATGTCGACAATATTTTAAAGAATACAACATTTTAACAGTACCTTCTATATATATTTTTAAATGTATACTACATGTAAAAGCCAATATAACTACTTTTAATTTAAACTCTGATTATCACCAGTACCCAACTAGGCAAAATGACCTCATCAGAGTACCAAAGCATAATACAGCACGGTTTGAAAATTCCCAGTATTATATGGGTATAAGACTTTTCAATCATCTTCCCAAGAGTATTAAATCTGAAATGAATTTAAATAAATTTCGAAGTAAATTAAAATCTTTTTTGTTGCAAAATTGTTTCTACAGTGTAAATGAATATATGGGGGATGTAAATAATTAATTCTATGTATTTTTTATCCTTTTACTCTGAAATTGTGATGTTTTTATAATGTATTTATGTATATATTTTTTTTTAGTCGACTTATCCTATATCATGTAAATGATCTTTAAGGATGAATAAATTATTATTATTATTATTATCCAGATTTAGCCATACGGCTCACACTCCCTCTAAGGGGAAAATTCACTCATCCCAGATACCTACGGTATCAAAAGGATTGAGCTCTGGTGGGACTCTTTCCATGTTATCGAGTCCTAGGTGACTTGGTACGTCGGTGTATCTCCTAAAAATTTTCGCACGCATCTAGACGTCGAAAGTAGCACAGCTTTCTGCATGACCTTATATAGATGTTCATTTAGACCCAGCTTTTTTATGTTTTCTAGGAGGTTCTTCGGAATGACTCCAGTGGTAGAAAGAATAATCGGTATCGTCTGGGTACTTTCCATTCTCCATTGTCTTCTTATTTGTATTTCCAGATCTCTGTACTTGGCGATCTTTTCGTTGTATTTAACACGCAGGTTATTGTTGTTAGGTATCGCCACATCGATTAGAGTTGTTTGTCTTGTTAGTTTATTAACTAGCACGAGATCTGGTCTATTATGTGCTACAGTTTGGTCTGTGAGCACAGTACGATCCCAGTATAGCTTGTAGTTGTTATTCTCAAGCATACTCTCTGGAACGTATTGATAATATGGGAGATGGTTTGTTTGTATAAGTCCCAGTTTAATAGCTATCTCTTGATGGAGGATCTTCCCTACTGAGTCATGCCGTTCCTTATATTCAGTTGCAGCAAATGCCTGGCAGCCTCCGGTAAGATGTTGGATCGTTTCTTGGGCTTGACATCCATATCGGCATTTGTCGTTTTGGACCTGAGGGTCTTTGACAATATATTTCAGGTAATTTTTGGTTGGTATAACCTGATCCTGAATGGCGAGTAATGAACCTTCTGTTTCAGGGAACATCTTTCCTGATGTCAGCCAATAGTTCGACGCTATATTGTCGACATAGTCTTGACTGACTTCATTCGGATGTCGCCCGTGCAGAGGTTTACCCATCCAGATGCGCATTTTTTCGTTCTTAGTAAGATGGTTTATGCGCATTTCTTGTTCCCTCAGGTTGATCGGTGTTGTGTCATCTACTGCGCAAATCGCGCGATGAAGAGTAGATGTCTCCGCCTGCACCTGAAAATAAGTTCTTAAATTATTAATCTGTTTATCTAATTGTTCGCTTATATCAATAAGTCCTCGTCCTCCTAAATACCGTGGTAATGTCGTTCTTTCTACTGCACTTCGAGGATGGTGTTTTTGTGCCTTTGTGAGGTGTGTTCGTACTTTTCTCTGAAGACTTTCTATATCCGTTTTAGACCACTTAATAATGCCAAATGAGTAGCTAAGCGCGGAAAATGCGTAGGTGTTTAATGCCTTAAACAAATTTTTACTATTAAGATGTGAGCGGAGTAGCTGTTTTACCCTTCGTATGAACTCTGATGTTAATTCGATTTTCATTTGTTTATGATCAATTTTCCGCGCTTGCTTTACTCCTAGATATTTATACATATCATTTTCGCCCATAGCCTCGATGTTTTGGCCATTTTGCATGTCGAATCCCCGGGCTGAACCTTTCCCTTGACTATATTTAGTACACGACATTTGTCTAACCCAAAGTGCATACTAATATCATTTGAAAAAGTTTCTACAGTTTTTAGCATTTGATCTAAGTGAGTTCGAGTGGAAGCCATTAGTTTCAAATCATCCATATACAACAGATGATTAAGCTTCGCCACTACAGTGTTGTTGTTTTTAATGCTAAAACCTGAGTCAGTGGAGTTCAATAGTTGGGATAGTGGGTTCATCGCTAGACAGAACCACAAGGGACTTAGCGAGTCTCCTTGGAAGAGGCCGCGGTTAATTGCGATATTTTCCGTTTCGATATTGTTTTCACCAGGTATTTGGAGGTGAATTTTAGTCTTCCAATCTGTCATTATATGTCTTAAGAAGGTCACTATATTATCATCGACTTTATATATTCTTAATATATTTACCAGCCATTCATGCGGCACTGAGTCAAAGGCTTTCTTATAGTCAATAAAAGCAGTGAAGAGATATTATTATTATTATTATTATTATTATTATTATACAACAGACGGTCAGAATTGGTATAGTATTAATGTTTATATAGGAATTATCAGCAACACAAGGGCAACAATCTTACCTACTGGAACTTGATTTTTGATCACTCATGAACCTACCTACTTAGGATTTAACCTACTTTTGACATTTCTTTGACAACTTCTTCTTTTGACAACACTTTCTTTCTTAACTTCCACATACAATACTTGGTCTATTTGCTTAATCGTTACTGTCATGAGTTTCAAATCACAAATATCTCATTAACATGGTAAGAAATGTTCGCGTTTAGTTGTCTCTAATCGGTTACGTTTGTAAACATTGGAAATAATAACATATTACTTACTTGGTTATCATTATTTTCCAAGGTGAAATACCCAGTTACTGTGATAACTTGGTGTAGCAGATCCTGGTACGCCAATTCCGTGACCGGATCTTCTTTTCCGTGATTTTTGGGTATAGTCGGAGAGGCGCAGCACCATATCAGATGGCTGGCGATGTGACGGAATTGAAGGGAGATTCCCTCTGCTCCCAGCACTTCCTGTAACAAAGAATATTTCACCGATTAATACAAATTGAAGAAAATACAATAAATATTAACGTACTAACGTAAATATGTTGGCTCACAAATATCTAATGACAGTTTTTTTGTATTTATTTTTTCAATTTTAATGTTTGATCCTACGAAAAGGAATACAAATCTTCAGTCAAGAAAGTCAAAAAGAAAAAGCAAAAGTAATCGTAAATTAGCGTCTATACTAAAAGTCATTTTTTTAAAATTAGGTTCAGTATATCGAACAAACAAACGGTCAAGATAAAATTGAAAGTTCAAAAAGTAGTAAGAGTTTTCCATATATGGTAATAGTCTTTTTTTCTTTGGTAAACAAATCAACTAAATTATTTATATTAGAACTATCACAAATCCCCTACAAAAGCCAGAAACTTTGTGGTGGTGGATAGGCAATTAATAGCTTGTCGTAGTTGAGAATTATAGGAGGGGAAGTTGGCATCTTCTTAGGATAGATTTCGGGGACTTTAAGATTTATTTCACTTATGAATCGTTCGCATCTTTCATAAAACGGAATGTGAGCAGCATAATATTATTCTTAGGGCGAGCGCCCACCAAAGTGGCGTGGCAGTGGCAAGTAGCAAGTAGCACGCGTCTAGCATAATGTAACCAATCTTAACGAATGATTAGAATGAATGACGTTACTGTCATTTTGGTGTAAATTGAATCATGCGTTTTCATTGGTTACATTATGCTAGACGCGTGCTACTTGCTACTTGCCACTGCCACGCCACTTTGGTGGGCGCTCGCCGTTAAGGGAGAGCGCCCACCAAAGTGGCGTGGCAGTGGCAAGTAGCAAGTAGCACGCGTCTAGCATAATGTAACCAATGAAAACGCATGATTCAATTTACACCAAAATGATAGTGACTATGATAGAGACACCAAAATGATAGACTAGACCATAATGATAGTCATTCATTCTAATAATTTTTTTTCATTGGTTACATTTATAAATAACATGCTAGATGCGTGCTACTTGCTACTTGCCACTGCCACGCCAGTTTGGTGGGCGCTCTCACTAAGAGCGTTATTTTGAATGGCGTCTAAAACGTTCAACGGATGCCAGCAACAAGACTCCCCAAAAAAGTAGTAGAATGGTAACCGATAGGTCGACGGAAAAGAGGAAGACCCAGATTAGAATGGCAACACGGCGTAAACAAGTCCATGAGCGAAAGAAATTAAACAACAAACGACTGCGAAGATAGGAAGAAATCGGGTTTAGGTATCGGACAACGTCGAAAGACGTTCTAAACCGATTTATATATGTCTGAAACTTTTAGAGTTGTTGTTGAAACAGACGAGTAAGCATGGCATCTATAATCGATCTTAAAACGGAGTAGAATTTTATATAATGCTAGTTCTACCTTCCGCTCCCTAGTTTGTACTAGAAAGACATTGTAAGAGGTTTAGTCTTTTTGACATATTGCTGAAATATATTTGATGTGGTCCTTCCAGGTTAGAGCTTGATTAAATATTAAACCTTTGGTATTTAATTGTTTTTACATAATATTCAAGTGTCTGACCCCCCAAGTTTTAAAGTAGGTATTTTCTTTGTCTCTGTATTTGATTTGGTCTCTTTAAGAATATAACGCAGCGAGTTTTAGACAAAGCAAATTAAAATCCAATCTTTTTAGAGCATGCTTTAAATTTATCGAGTTCATATAATATTACAGGATCCAACTTGTAAATACAATACATTTTGGAGACGGCTATCGGCGTTTTACCGTTCTCCTCCGCCAATCCTCCCAGTCCAAAGCATGATCCTCTTTCAAACCTCTCGATTCCATCGCTCTACTAATTCCTTTATTCTATGTGAGTCGAGGTATACCTTTTTTTTCTTCTTCCAAGAAGGAGCTTCTATTTGTGAAGTTTTTGGGGCCAATGTTTGTCAGGCATTCTCAATAGGTGTCCAAACCATTTGAAACCTCTTCTTTCTATTCTGTCAATGACTGTTTCGGTAGCATTCATGTTATTTCTTATATATTCGTTGGTCTTTCATTCCAGTCTTGATGTTCTAGCACTTCTTCCCAAACAATCCATTTCAACTGCCAACAATCTTCTCTTCTGGTCTGCATTAATTGCCCATACTTCAGAGCCATAACAAAGAACTGATTCAACTATGGTATGTATATTTAAATTTTTCCACTTGTTTGATTTCCACGTCCTCGTCTATCAACACTTCAAACCTTGCATCTGAATTGATAACTAAATACTCTGTTTTCTTTATGCTGACTTGTAACCCCCATTTTACATATTCTCTGTCCATACGCTTTATTCAGATACGCTTTGTTAGAAATTCCAGATCATAAGAATCTTGAACTAGGACGACTTGGTCATAAATTAAACAGTAAGGGTGAGATACTGCATCGTTGTCTAAGTCCTTTAGTTACTTTTAATGGCTCTGATAGTCTATTTAAGATTTATAGGTAAGTAGTGTGATGTTTGTATGCTTCTGTGATTATTCCTAAAAGCTATCGAGTTCATCTTGTAGTAATTTGGCTTACTCTGTATATTGTTTAAAACTAGCAAAAATTAAGAGAACAAATACAAACACCAGCACGCCTATATATACAAGAGAACTGATGAGAGACGAAAATCTGAAGAAGAGTTATGCGAATCAAATTAATGAAAGAATGTGAGTAATAGAACAAAATGATGATATCGAAGAGATGGTCAATGATATTAAAGGAACGATTCTGACAGTAAACAGGGAAGTTAAAACACAGATCAGAAAGAGAAAGCATAACGAATGGATCTAATGGAAAAGCGAAGGCAACATAAACAACAACGTAATCAAGACAAATACAAACAGATACACAAAGAAATTCGCCAGAAAATTAAGAAAGCAAAAGAACGTTGGATGGTGGAAAGGTGCAACGAAATAGAACAATTGCAGGAAAAAGGAGATAGTTTTGGACTGCATAAGAAGATCAAAGAAATATCGAATATACACCAACACCACCACAGAACAAGAATACGCAACGATAGAAATGAATACATAGAGTCAGAAGAGGAGATAGCAATGGCGTGGAAAGAATACGCAGAAAGACTTTTTAATGACGAAAGACCAACACAACCAACGCGCAAACTTCCTTCCGAAAACTTATCAGGGCCATCAATAATGCGAAGTGAAATAAAATATGCAGTTAGAGTATGCACAAAAATGCATAAAGCAACAGGTCCAGATGAAATTAATATAGAAGCAATAAAACTACTAGTCGAGGAGAATATCGAAATCTTGGTAAGGCTGTTCAATAGAATTTATGATACTGGTTACATTCCGCGAGAATGGTTGCAGTCATCCTTTGTGATGATCCCAAAAACAGCTAATGCCACAAAATGCAGTGAACAACGCTTAATCAGTTTAATGAGTCACTTGCTGGATATTACACTCAAGAATGTACAAGATATTAGAAGAACTTAGCGTGTCAACACAATTCGGTTTTAAGAGAGGACTAGGAACAAGAGAGGCAATTTTATGTTTGAACGCCTTAATACAAAACTGCTTAGATTAGCGAAAATATGTCTACCTCACTTTCATCGACTACGAGAAGGCATTTGATAATGTTAAACATGATATCATGATGGAACTACTACGTAGGGCCAACATTGACCAGAAGGAGATCAGAATTATTCAGAATCTATACTGAAATCAAATGGCAAAGGTGAGGATTGATCAAGACCAATATACGGATGAATTTGAAATCCGGAAAGGTGTCCGCCAAGGCTGCATACTCTCTCCGATGCTTTTTAATTTATATGTTAAAAATATATTTGCGGAAGCATTAGAAGACACGTAATTAGGCATTAAGGTGAACGGCATACCAATTAGCAACCTACGCTACGCGGACGACACAGTGATTATAACTGATAATTGTAAGATCAGCAGTTATTACTTGATAGGGTGAATAGCATAGGTAAAAAATATGGCGTCAAAATCAACATTTTAAAAACGAAATATATTATCATTAGCAGAAACCCTCCAGAAAACCCGATAATATGCATAGGTGACGATCGTATAAATCGCGTGAAAACTTTTAAATATCTTGGCACCACAATCAATGACCAATCGGATCCACAACACGAGATAAAAACCCGAATACAAATGGCAAGACAAGCTTTTATGAAATTCAGACCGCTCCTATGTAATCAAAACCTAAATTTCGAAATACGCTACAGAATGGTCAAGTGCTACATATGGTACATCTTGCTTTATGGCATGGAAACGTGGACTTTGAAAAAAACATCTATCAACAAACTTGAAGCATTTGAAATGTGGTCATTGAGAAGAATTCCACCATACCTTGGGTGGATAGAGTTCGAAACGATGACGTCCTTAAGAGAGCCGGCGTGGAAAGTGAACTCTTTGAATTAATTAAAAAACGCAAGATTGGTTACCTTGGGAACATATTGATAGGAGCAAAATATGAAATACCACAATTAATCCTAAAAGGGAAGATCGAAGGTAGGAGAGGAACCGGCCGCAAACAATTATCCTGGTTAAGGAATATTAAAGAATGGACAGGAATACACAATACAGGCGAGCTGTGTCACGCCGCCAAGAACAGAATTCTAGTAATGAGATAGTCGCCTATGCACTTTAGTGTATGGCATGTTAAGAAGAAGTATATTGTTTCCTTTTAAGAATATTACAAGATCATCCGCGTACAATCTTGCTTGAATGGGTTTATTCATTGATTTGGTTATATCATCAATAGCTATAAGGAAAAGCGTCGGGCTCATTACCGAGCTTTGATGTGTGCTTTTTTGATACCTCACATTAGATAGAAGACAGTTTACTTTTACATTGAAATTTCTACTTAGGAGAAAATTTTTAATAAAAGCAAGCCCTTGATAGCCCCATGATTCCAGTGTTGAAATTATCTTGTGATGTTAAGCCATATCAAATGCTTTGTGCAAATCAAAATGGGAGACAGAAGGCATTATTAATATGTGCTTCCATATCTACTAAA